TGATCTCTCGTTTATTTTATTTTAAATTTATATTTACACTCTAAATCAATGTACGATCATCCTTTTTCCACTTGTTGTATTCATTTTACTTATTAACCATGTCTCAATATTATCTAATATTCAAATGTAATTATCTTACATGTGTACAACCAAATATAATTATAATTATTAATTGTTTCCCTCTCTATACTTCTAAGTTAGTTCTGCAATCTATGTATGTAAATGAAGTTATTTCTACATTTGTATTTTACTTCTGCAAATTTTGGGTTTATTCACATTGTACTCTTATCTATAATCATTTAGTTCTATTTTATATGTATATGTATATATTTATAATTTAATATTACATAGATATAGTATTTTTCTATTGTATCCATCCATATCTTTAAATTTTAGATACTGTAATTTTCTAGGTTTTTCCCTATTACCTAAACAAGTCAGTTTCGCCTATACCTTCCCTTACCCCTGGTTTTCTAGTTCTAAGTGAAACTCTTAGCTGAACAAACCTGTAAGTCTCTAATTATATTTTCCTATTTTATTTACTTATTTATTTAATGTCTGGTTTTTTTTTTCTTTTCTATCTCCACATTCCTTATGTCTATTATTTCATATTATATCCTTTTTCCTTTTCTTTCAATCTCTCCTGTAGATCTGTAGAAGTATATTCACATTTGCATTGTTATTTACTTCAGTTTAGGATCTTGTTAATTAATTAGCTTAGTTTGTTCATATTTTAATGTACTTACTGTTTATAATTTCAAAAAGCTTATTCACATTGTTTATAGATTTTATCTAAATATTATTTAACTGCCAGAACCCTCTATCTTTTTGTATCTTGTCCGTTCTATCCCTGAAGAAGACCTGCAAAGTCGGGTCGAAACGTCGGCTTTCAATAAAATAATTTTACCACTATTTAGCCTATTTATGACCGCCACCCCGGACCATCTCCTTCCTTTATTTTTTTTAATACTATTTATTTCATTGTACTATTATTCTATAATTCTTCACTGTACAATAATAATAAAATAGAATTAGGAAAGTTAACAAAATTAACTTTAATCAAATTTTGTATAACAAATTTTTGAGTTACTTTTTGGGACACTAACCCTTACATAATTAGAGGAATTATTCGTTGAATGTCAACGCAAATAGGCCTCTGTAATTCTCCCCATAATTAGATGTGGTAGGCAAACGCGTGGCAGAACAGGCCATTTCATTGCAAATGATAGATCAAGGAGCATCATCTTGTATCTTGGATGTTTTTGGATCACATATTCTCGAAGAATAAGAGAAAGAATTTAACTTATTTACGTAAAAATTGAAAGAATGTTGAATTAAACAGTCATTTGTTAATTTATGATATCTAAGCATTTATTATGATCGATAGTTGAACCATGCAATCACATCAAGCTTTCTGGAAATTTCAATGTATAAATTCCGTAATATAATCATATTTTTATATATTATTTTAACTAGTATTCACAAGGGTTTTTCATGTCATGCATCTTTCGTCGTAAACCTACGACTTACTGCCCTACAGTATCCTTTAACAATTCCAGACTTATTACAGTTGAACAAATCCGATACCTAGGACTCCGCCTCGACAAACTAGCTTGGAATCTTGATACCACGGGCGGATCTACGGGGGGAGGGGCTTTCGGGCTGAAGTCCCCCCTCCCAAAATGGTCCCCAAAATTTATAATCCTGTTGCGTTTTAAGGATCTTTCAAAAACAGATATTTTTTAATATCCATTAGGGCACAACAATACCACCATGTTTGCAGATTTTGAATATTGTAACTTACCGAAAAAAGTCCAAAAACTTGTTGATAAGATTAATAATACTAGACAAGCAAACTTCTTCTTTTTTTTATTAAGGAGAAAAGGGTTGGAATAGACCTAATTTATAGCCCGGACATAGTTAATGGCCCTACTTACTATGTTATATGTAAACAAAAATAAAACTATCGCAAAGTAATTCAGGAAGAAATATTGTAAAAAAATAACTAATGTGTGTGCTTTAGACCACACGATAGAAGTTAAGACAACAAAAAGGCAAGATTAATAATATGAAATATAAATTATAAATAGTAGCTCATATAAAGTGGATGAAAAGTTCCTTCACATACAGTATGTAGGTTTGATTTATAGTTTCTGGGATATTTTAATCCATATAAGCAATAAAACTCGTTATCATTTGGTTTTCAACACCATTTTTTTCCCTTTTCGCTTCTCTAACAAGGCGCGCAGTGGTTGAAAGGTGAGAAAAAAAGCTATTTTTTGAAGGTATTGGAAAAAAATTTTCTTTTCGTCAATGATAAATAGATTAGTCGCCTAAGATATTTCACCAATTCAATCGGTAAAATATTGATTATTAACGTTGTATTTGCATTTCAAATCCGATCATGGAATAATGTAGATTTACAACAACAATTTTTCGATATTATTATTATTGTCACTTAAATTTTGTATGTTGGGTACGATTTATTTTTATATACACGAATACTTATTCCAAAGGATTCACTGGATGAAATAAGAAATTAATTATTCATATTTTCAGGTCAACAATATTGTTTTGAACAACCAATACAGTAAAAGAGAAAAAAATGTTGTTCCAGACCTTTTGATCGAAGCTGACCGCGGTTTTAACGTCTATTTGTTTATTAAGACTAGAATTCCAATAAAATATTAAAGCAGATTCCATCTGCGTCTGTAATTTAAGCGTATTTTAATCTTGTAAATTGAATTAACTTATTAATTTATTTTTGAACGAGCGTCTATTTGAAATGAAAAGATTATTGATCCTAAAATAAAAAGTATATAGTATTAAGTATATTGTTATTTATTGTATAAATTAATGTATCTATTTTTTTAATTATCCATTAAGCCCTAAAAATATCAGATAATTCTTGTAAATAAAAAAAAAGTAGTTAGGTTGTATTTAGTCGCATTAAAACCAAAACTCCATCTTATTTTTCTTATATGATGTATAAATTAGTATATCTTTGTATTTTATTAAGAATCTATTCTTTAGATATAATTAGGCGTAAAAAATATAAATATAAATAAAAAAAATTAAATTTAACAAAATATTTATTCAGATTTTATTTATTAACGATTAAAAATCAGGAACTTCCTCTTATTCTTAACATGTGGTATATAAGTTTGTACGTATTTAATTAATTCGAATTTTAAAAATAATTAGTTGGTAAAAAATAATTCCAATGAATGAGTATTGGGTAGTTGGTAACACGGAATATACTCTTAACCTTCCATCTTCTCCTGAAATCATGATATTTCTTTTGTTTATTTAACGAGGTTGCACTAAAGATGGTTTATAGAAAATCTAGTTTTGGTTATGATGGTATCAAAACCGTTTTTCTTTAAGAAAGTTATGCGACTGTTTTACATATCACAGGTGATAAATAGTCAGGCCGCGGTAATTTTTAAGGTTCTGATATTTCAACTGCAAATTTTGCACGTGGTTCATCTTCAGGACGTTTTTCGAGCAATAAAGGTGTTCAAATAATGGTTTAAGTATGGCCAGTCTACACCTACAGTACAACGCCCTTAAATATATATATCATTTCAAATAGTCACTCGGTCAAAAATAAATTAATAAGATAATTCAATTTACAAGATTAAACTACGCTTAAATTACAGACGCAGGTGGATGGAATCTGTTATAATATTTTATCAGGATTCTAGTCTTAATACACAAACGGCACTAATAAACAAAGGGTTGAAACGTAGGCACTAATAAACACCTAAAAAATGAATACTTCCTGACTATTTATCATCAAAACTATTTTTTGTGACTTATAGATCTGTATTGCCTGAGTTTTTTTTTTTTCCGAAAAAAGTCTATTTTCAACCATTGTGCAGCGTCGCATTAACAGAAGATTTTGAATAATTTTTATTACAAAGAGGATGAAATGATGAATATTTCGCTCGCTAATAATATGCAGGTCTCATTTTTAGTTTTTGGGATTTTTTTTTTCGATATGCAAAAACACTTCAATTATTCAACTCCAGCTGACTTTACCCGAGCGTTTCACATTGCGGTCTGATGGCTCAATCTAATTCACTCTCCACAAAAAAAAAAATGCAAAACGCGCCTAAAGATGTTTTCAGTTGAAAAAATCGGAGAAAATGTGCGGACGGCGGACGGATAAATATATTTTTACTATATTTTCGAATTATACATATCCTGTAGAACACAAATTTTGGGGGAAGGGTTAAGTTTTAATTTTTTCGAACGATTAAAATGGTTCATTATTGAAATTAATAAACCGAAATAGTAGTACATGATCCATACAAGAAAGAGATCAATGGAGTTCATTGATTTCATATTGTGTTGTTTGGATCGATACTGTTATACTCGTATATCACTATATATCCTAGTTTAGGCCTAGTTATCATTTGTTCATTGACTACTGCAGTGTAAAAAAATCTGAGACCATCAAATGACACTGATCTAATACTGATTCTAAACAAATCATACACGAATCTTCAACACTTATACTTAATTTGGAGGGTATCAAGATGCTGCGCTAAACCTTTCAAACACCGAGGAAAAATAAACGAAATTCATACCATTCGTTCAAATAATATTATTTCTACAGATATTGAGTGTGTTTTATATATTATTTATCATTCCTATTTGCAACATGTTTGCCTTAGTATATCGTTTGGCATATTTTTACTAAATAAATTCAAACATATTTTTGAAATAATGATCGAATAGATTTTGTTTTAATTTTTTCATATTGATATTAAACTGGATGAATATCAGTTTGATTAACATTACAATTTCGTGTATGTACCTATTCGAAGTTCAATTTTATGGTATTATTATAAAATGTAGACATGTGCTCTATTTGAAGCCGACAAAACAGATCAACTAATAAAAATAAAATGTTAGATTAGCTAAATCATTAAAAAATCCCTCCCTGTGTCATAGATACACGTGAACCTACGAAATAGACAGGTATGGCTCACCTTGTACAACATGTTGTTTGGAAAGATAGCACTGGAGCGAGTTGCATGGAAGTAGTGGGATATATAGTGGCCTCCCTTCCACCATCGGGGATTTCTGTTTGTACACAGAGGGCGTCATCACGTGGGGCAGCGGCCAAGGGCGTTGAGTCAGCCAAAGCCCACAGACATAGATACCCGAAGGTGCCTCGGGGCTAAGTGCATTGGGGGGGAGGGTGAGGTCTTAGTCTGCACCTTCGTTAGGTTATCTTTTGAAGCTCTATTGATTTCTAACTGATCCATACATAGTGGAGTTGTTTATTATTACACAGAGAACTAAAAAAAAAAAAGATTAACTAACTAAAAAACTTAATAATCTATCCTAACGATATCACACTAATGTTATCCTTTTAATCTTTCAATTTCTTTATTTCTTAACCTTTAGTCCCGTTATCTATTTACCTCTGTTACTAAATGTAACCTCCACTAGCTTGTTATCCAATGATATCTTATTATTATGTTATCTTATTCTTATTTTAGCTTTACTCTATCAATACTTATTCAATTTACAATCTATTTATTCGTTAACATTCATTTTCTTTATTTGTTAACCTAGATTTATCAAATGTAATCTTTATTAGTTGGTTATACACTCATTCCTTATTTTTTATCGCAATCTGTTTACTTTTAACTTACATGCTATATGCTCCTTTATTTTCTATTTTTATTCATACTTATTCAATTTACAATCTATTTATTCGTTAACATTCATTTTCTTTATTTGTTAACCTAGATTTATCAAATGTAATCTTTATTAGTTGGTTATACACTCATTCCTTATTTTTTATCGCAATCTGTTTACTTTTAACTTACATGCTATATGCTCCTTTATTTTCTATTTTTATTCATACTTATTCAATTTACAATCTATTTATTCGTTAACATTCATTTTCTTTATTTGTTAACCTACATTTATCAAATTTAATCTCTATTAGTTTGTTATACACTCATTCCTTTATCTTTTATTGCAATCTGTTTACTTTTAACTTACATGCGATATGCTCCTTTATTTTCTATTTTTATTCATACTTATTTTCCATTTTTGTTTGTATCTTCTACATGTAATACTTGATATTTTAACTATATTGTCTCTCCCACTATAACTCTGATATCATCTTTTTATTTCTGTATCAGACAACTTATTCTTATTTTATATCTACTTATATTCATTTATTTTATTTTCACCATGTTTTGTATCTTTTGTAGCCCTGATGAAGACCTGCAAAGTGGGTCGAAACGTCGGCAAAAATTAAATAATTCTACTTGTTTAATTTATTATTAATTTGACCGCACCCCCAGATCAACTCCTTCTCATAAAAAAACTAAGGTGTGTGCTCTAGACCACATGATAAAAGATAAAACATCAACAAGGCGAGATTAAAAATATGAAATATAAATTATAAATAATAGCTCATTATAAAGAGGATGAAATGCTGAAAATGTTCCTGACTTACAGTATGCAGGTCCAATTTTTAGTTTCTGAAAAATTTTGATCCATATCTTCCATGAATTCGTTAACATTTGCTTTTCCGACAATACTTTTTCCTTTTCGCCTCTCTAACGCAGTGTAGCCTTAATATGCAATTTTGAACATATTTGAACACGATTACAAAGAGGATGAAATGATGAAAATTCCCTGTTCTAGCATTATGCAAGTCCGAATTTTAGTTTTTGAGATATTTTAATCTGTATGAAAAACAATAAGTCGGATCCAGCCGACTTTACCCAAACGTTACATATCATAGATCTGACGGCTCAATCTAATTCACTCTTCATAAAATGTGTTAAACGTGCCTAAATAAATCTTCACTTATTAAAATCTGCATTAGTTTATGGAGTCTATTTAGATGCATGTAATGATGAAATACTCAGGTTATAAAATATTTTGCTTGAAAAAACTCTGATTCTCTTGATAAACCATTCAATAGAAATGCACGTATTTCACGAATCAACCCTTATAACCTTGTATTTTTTTAAGTTTAAAGTGACAAATTCTTATGAGTACCCAGAATTTTAACGAACGGCACCTTGTGCATAATTTTCAAGTGTTAAAGTTGAATTAATTAAATTTCGTTTCATCAACATTAGTGGTCAGTGTGTGCAGATTTATTATTTATTATTTATTAAAAATGGTTAACATTTTATCGGTTTAGCAGAACAGATACGCTAAATATTTACAGATAACCTGTTTCCTTTTTCTGTAGGACAGTCGTGCAAAAAATGAACACTGCAACAGGAAAGGCTGAAAGAAAGGTTTAGAATGAACCTCACTGTTGGAAAATCTTCGTTCACGAACCGTTCGTCAGTCAAGAAAAATGTATTCTTTCGCCACTACATATTAAACTTGGGCTACATAAAACAGTTTGGTAATACAATGAATGGCGATTGCTTCAAATATATCTGTCAATCATTTCCTGGTCTCAGTATAGGAAAGTTAGAAGTTAGTTAGGAAAGGAAGAATTTTTAATGAACCATCAATCCGTACTCTTATAAACAATGAAGATTTTATAAATACATGATTCAAGTTGAATTGAAAGCATTGTGACAAGGGTTAGGATTAGGTCCAGGTAGTTCAATTTTTTCTCAAAGATACCAACAGCAATCATTTTTTTTTTTTTATAAGAGAACACATGTTCATAACGCTGGCGGCAACAAATAAATACAAATAAATTCTAACCTCTTCTCCAACTACCATTAATACATTTTACATAAGAATTACATAAGAAAAGACAAGGTACAGAGAGCTTCATCGCTTGGACGAAATAATTTAAGTTTTGAAGGATTCCATAAATCTGCTAATTTTCCACCCCGATCTTTCAACTTACAGGATCCGCCGCTTGTAACAGATTCAACCGTATAAGAACCTTCATACTGTGTTGCCGTTTGTACGAGGATCCTCGTATTTGTACGAGGTTATGACGTAATGTACGAGGTACGAGGATAGACTAGCCTCGTACCTCGTACATAAGTTTTACTGACGTTTGCAATGCAAGGTTATATTTTTATGAATGAAGTTTAGAATTGTTTTACGGTTACTTTGTCTGTATTATTATTTATGTTGATATGAAAGACTGAACTTCTGTTGCTTTATTGACAAATAAATTGCAATTATATCTTCTTTAATTAGACTATGATTATTATTTCCTTCATAAAACCATGATTGTATATATATATGTTTTTTTTTAATTTTCTAGAAAATAAAATTAAAAAAAAAATTAGATTTTATTCAGTATAAAATAAAATATAAGAAACCATATCCATTATTTCCTTAATAAAACTTTTTTTATAAATATGTATTTTTTAAAATGTGTTGTAAAAGAAAATTAAACAGAAATTTTTACCGTCATTTTTATCGAGCATAAAATAAAATACGAGAAAGTATATCCATAATTTCCTTCGTAATTATTATTTCCTTCATAAAACCGTAATTGTAAATATATTCTAGATAAATTGAATTTTTTTAAAATTATAACCGTAATTAAAAAAATTATTTTCGATATTTAATCGAGTAAAGTAATTAATTGAAAAATTAACTCGTATTCATAATGAACCCATCTTAAATAATGAAAAAAAAAATTTTTTTCAGTGGCCCACATTTATTTTGTGCGATATATAATTGTAAGCTAAATACTGAAACAATCAAAATCTATTATTTTTTTATATTATAATGGATATCTCTAAAAGCATCAATGCCCCAATAATTAATTTTTATTAACCTTCCAGAACCACTAACATCCTTTCATAAAAGTAGTTGTTTTGTTTTTAGAAAAAAGAAAAAAAATTAGTCCTTCCCCCTAACTAAATCTTGGATCTACTTATGAAGAGTACTTTAAGAAGTTTATTTAGCTATTTTAATTTTTATATAACGTGTTCAGTAGTTTATAAAAATATATAAACTTTTTTATATATTTTATTAAGCTAATTTTAGTTCTTGACCCATTAACTTAAAAAACAAGTAATGCAAAAAGGCTTTAAAATATATGAATGGAGGTAAAAATAAAAATTTCTGATCTAATTTTACTATAAAAAAAAAACAATAACACTGGGCTTATAATAGTACGAGTTATGAATGGACAAGCGTACGAGGATGTACGAGGCTTCAGTACGAGGTTCTGTCACAGAGCGAGCGGTAACACTGCCTTCATACATAGGGTTTAATTCAGCTGCTAGTTTATCCGCCGTCGAAGATAGCTGGAACGTTTTCTTGAGAACTTATCATTCGGACGGAACGATCCTTTGGGCGTCTCAAATTATAATGATGATTTAGACTGAATTAGACTCGCCTTTAGAGAGTTTTCCTCGGCTATATGATGAACTTCGGGCAGTTTATTAATTTTAACAGCCCAATGAACCTGTTCATTTGTGCGAGCCTCGAGAATATTTTCTTGGGAAGCCTGATATAGAGGACTTAGCTATCTACCAAAATTGAAGAAGCCCGACTGAACTTTGTTTAATTTTGAATGGAAGAGTTTAAAGCCAACTGGACCTCCCAGCAGTTACTTATCCCAATTGGTTCCTCCCTCCCCCTAGGTACGTAATGATAAATTGTTTGATGTTGCGATTTGTCCGTTCCGTGGGATTCGCCTGCGAATGGTAAATAGGAGTAGTCTCCCACTCGATCCCGTACTCCTTAGCTACCTCATTTATAAGATTACTGAGGAATTTCTTCGCCTTGTCGGAAATTAATTTCTGGGATGCGCCATACCTATACAGTATGCGCGACTTTAGTTTCGATATAATAACTGAAGAGTTGGCTTTTCTAATAGAACACAATTCCATCCATCTGCTCAATAAATCTACAAACAGAAGCAGATACACATTGTCTTTCGAGCTTCGAGGATAGGAACCCATAATATCGACTGACACTATTTCCCATGGCTGCTTGTTATAGCGAGAGTACATTAATTGTACATGGTGTGTTACTACCATTGCCTCACATACTGGCTAATATAGCGGCATAGTCCAGGCCAATGATATAGCATACTAACCCTTGCAACGGTTTTATCTATCCCAGGTTGGTCCGACTGCGGAAGATCATGATTATCATATATTGTACATCTCCGAAGATGTCGAGGAACGATGACCTTCCATTCTTCGCTGGAAACCTCAATCTCTCCCTTCATAGTGTTCTTTCGATGGTA